TACCAAGCTAGTTATCCAATTGGAAATACTTAAACGATAATGGAGCTCCTTAATCTTAAGTTTTCAAAAGGAGCGTGCTACGCTTTGACAGCATGACGGAAAAAGGTGTAACACGCTTTTGCTTGAAAACTTCATATAAAGGACCTTCATTATGGTTTAAGTATTTCCCATCGAAGAAATTAAAATTTTTAGTTCACTCTATTAACAGGTAAATAAAAGTTTTTAAAAATGTATTTTGTTATTTTATTTATTAACATATCACTCTCAGGTATATTTTTCCATAAATAATACGTTCGCAATTTCATAAATATAAAAAAGATGATGAGTTCTCTTAATGCTGATCTAGAGATCGGAGCGTTGGGTCAGAACACAAACCTAAGACTAGACAAAAAACGACTCGAGATCTTCTAAAGATAAGGTTCATGATGTGGACATAATCCATCTATAGACATATCTAAATTGGGTTTTATATGTGCTTTAATCTCATGGATTTGTTATTTAAATTGATGGTCTATGCTCAAACGAACAGATTGGAGTTAAAGTGATAGAAATTATGCATGGGTGCATCGTAATGTGTTTCATCTCGTCTATGTGATTAGGAATTGAGATTCAGAAGGGTCATTATGAATACTGCGTTTTCGTTATATGTCGTTTTGGATGTGTAGTGCGTTATTTCTTTGGCACAAATCAATATCCTCGAGTGCCTAGAAGCAAGGGAAAGATTGTACTGGTTATTTCCACTTGTATACGGTTTTTTGGGAGCTTCATTTGATCTTAGATATAAAAAAAAATTGTTACAGATGATGTTAATAAAGTAAACTCACCATACGTCAAGGGATCATTTTTTCTGAGATTTTTTCGGTTTACTAGATACAGGGTGTCAATCTTTTTTTGAAAAATCTTTTTTTCAAATGCAATAATACTTGAGCCAATTTTGTTCAAATTTGATGGAACATAGTGTGGCACGTACCGATATATCGCTCAAAGTTTAACTAAGTTCAATGAAGAAAAACGCTATATTCAAGTGGCGAATTACCATTGCCATCCAGATAACGAGATAAATCCGTGCAGCTGTGAGTCTTATTGACAAAAGCATATTGTCTAAAAGTTCGGCGATATGTCTAAATTTCAGTATATACCAAGAAAATCGGCCAAAATGTTACTTATTACGTTTTTTTTTTTTTGGAAGAATACGTGTTCTCAAAAAAGCTTGATACCTTGGCATCCTGGAAAAGAAGATATCCCTTACCATGTTCAAATGGATTTTTTTGTTAGAACAACTCAGGTAACCACCCCTTGAAATTTGTCCAGGTACCTTATTGACATAGAGGCATAGAGTGCTACCAGTGTTGAAAGCCTGTCAGAAATTGGATAAGATGAGTTTGGTAGAAGTTCAGTCGCTGCAACTGTGACACATTCTAACAATAACTTAAAAGGATACCTATATTAAGTTATAAAAACATGTGTGTTATGTCTTTCTGAGATATTTTCCTCAAGAGGTCATCAAGAATAAGAAATATGACATAATGACATGTAATTATTATCAGAAAGCACACATATATGTAAATGATAAAGTATCTGTATATCTGTAGGAGGTGTTGTAATGGATCTCCTGGTAGCAATTCATGCGAGCGTTCATGGAGCTTGGTAGGATAGCTGTCAAATGGTTGGTGGCAGTTTAAAGGGACTGATAGTCACTATCGCATCTAAGTGGTGCACATGGTGTTTCAAATTCGAAACTCACTAATGTGATCTCGAAAACTGTAAGAGATACGAAGTCGCTTAACTGGGGGCAGAGTTGCGTATTTAGGTAATCAACAAAATGCCGCTCAGAAAGTTTCGAAACTCAAAATAAAAACGAATTTTCCGATTTAAATCGATTCAATTTTTTCCTTACTTTAATTGTAGTGGGATTTCAAAATAAAATGCACATTCACATTTTCTTCTACAAAATGGCACAATTAGAATTCTAAAATGACGTTTCGTCTCTTAACAACCAGCATCAACTTCATTTTTTCTCATAGACGCCACATTGAATATTTGCGCAGATGAATAGAGTTCTTAATTCTGATTTCAAAAATGTATTATATGTCATACATTGACATTGCATATCCTTAGTTATTCTAGAAAAACAGAATTTCCTAGGTAGGCCTTGAAATTATCAGATTTCATTTGTTTCATATACCAGACCAGACCTCAAATTGTACATAGTAACAGAGTTTGGAGGACGGAGAAGAATAGAAATGACTCGAGCAGTGAACAATCTACAGAGAAGAGTCAGGCTTTGCCTACAAAATAACAGACAGTTTGAACATCTGCTATGATTTACCTCTGCTTGTTTATGATTATTATTGTTATTACCATCAATGAAATGTTCATGTGTTCAGGATTCACCATATTTTTTTATTTCCTTATGATTTTCATCCAACAGCAAATTCATTGCGCATTAAGGAAATACGTTACAGAATTTAGGACTGACAAGTCTATTTAAATGTGCAAAACTCAAATATAGCGTCCATATGAAGAAACAAAGTTGGTGATGGAAGTCCAAAGAAAAAATGTTGAATTGAAAATTGGAATAAACCATCTTGTATAGGAGAATAAGTAATAATGACAGCATGCAATTTATTTTGAGATATCATCGCAAATGAAATAAAATTGACTTTGGGATAAATCTGGAATGCGAAACAAATCTAGTAATTTCAAGGCCTGCCTAGGAAATTCTGATTTTTTTGAAATAACTAAGGTTTGGCAATGTCAATGTATGAGTTCATTTTTGAAATCAGAATTAAAAACTCTATTAATCTGTAAGAAAATCCAATATAGCGTCCATAATGAAAATAAAGTTGATGCTGGAAAACAAAAGATGAAATGTCATATTGAAATTCTAATTTACCATCTTGTAGAGGATAAAAGGTGGCAATGTTAATCTGGAGTTTATTTTGAAGTTTCATTACAAATAAAATCAGGACAATGTTAAAATGATTTTGGGAAAATTTTTGTTTCTCTCCGGAAGTACTTTGAATTTCGACACTTTCTAGCCGGATTTTGTTAGTTACCTAAATACGCAACTTTGCTACCATTCAAGTGACTTCGTATCTCTTACAGTTTCCGATATGCCAACGATGAGGGTCGAATTTGTAACTCCCGGTATAGTGAGTTCGATCTGCACCACCCTGTATTTATGTTGAACGCACAAATTAGCACTAGGCCTCTCCAGACACGTTTATAATTTACACAGTTGCCAACCCCCTTGCATTTTCGAATCGGTACCATATGGTTGTCCGTATGGTTCCTTATGTTGTCGACACCGCCATTGTATTACGTTACCCATAGGAAGCGACACACGTGTTCGGGCCACATGAGCAGTAGGGGTTCTACTGGATTTTTTACGACCACTTTTCCTTCCGGCGAAACTAATTGTTGTCTTAAGAAATATCGAGACCTACCGCATGGTTTCAGCCTTATAAATGCAGTACCAAGACATTGAGAGCTTCCGATGACATCCGAGTAATTTAGTTCTTAAAAAGGATATAGTGCACATAAAATGGTATATGTTTCTATATAAAAGTAGTTGCAATCGCAGAACACAGAAATGAATTTAGAAACGTATTTTTTTCGACATAACATTTTCACTCTGTACAAGGTCCAGATAAGGCCTTGCCTCGAGTATTGCTCACATGTTTGGAGTGCTGCCACCGATTCTTTCTCACCGATGGGCGACCGGCGATCTAGATCTCTTCTACCGCTATGTTAACGGGCTTTGCTCCTCCATGGTGCCGTGGTGCAATGTGAATGCCAAACAGACTTACGTACATCTAGAACTTGGCGATACGATCACTCCTTTGTCGCTAGGGTATAGAGATTGTGGAACAATCTGCCTAGTTCCACCAGCCTTAGAGCATTCAAAAATCCAATTAGCAACGTGTTTTGATGCTCCTCACAGCAGCCGCGGGGTCCCAGCATTTAGGCTTCTGCCTACGCGGATGTTTCGGTATTAAGAAGGTTGTAGTGCAGGAGTTCCCAACCACAGGGGCGCGCCTCCCAAGGCGGGCGTAGAGAGATGCCAGGGGGGGTGGAAAGCGTTTGCATTTTAGAAAAAACAAAAAAAAAGCAAACAACATTAACAAATAACATTACAATGTAATGTTTAATTTACACGCATAAAATTAGGAACTAAATATCATATTCACTTATTCTGTCAACCGCTGTTTCAAAACCCGGCGTCGTCAATCGCAGTTTATACAAGTTTCGGCAAGTCACATGAAATCCGCGCGCAACCCTGCCGTGCTCCGCTCAACATTCACCACTTAGAAAACAATTGTATATGTATACCTACCAGACGCGGATGAGCATCTGTGACATTCATTCCCACAAACTTGCGAAAAATTTGACGTTTCGATGTGCATGTTTTGTTGAGAAATCTGTTTGAGTATGTCAAATTATTGTGTCTCACTGTTAAAAGATAAGTTTGTGTATTTACAAACTTCAGTTATTTAATTTTTATTTAATTTACTAAATTGTTGATTGAGTGGACATGCGTTCATAGATCGGCCATTGGGACTTTTTTACCACATCACAATCAAGCCAACGTGGCGAAATAATTTTGAAACGATGAACTTTAGGTACCTAATATTGATTCCAAATGTATTTAAAATTACTATTATAAAGTCAACCTGTCTACAAAAATATAAATCTCCCGGTGGCCAATATACTGTTGAATACATTACGTCATCAAGATAAAATAATGGGCATATAATTAGTAATTTCATGTAGGTATTTTGCTTATTTATTGATTACTTATTTGTTTTATTGTTATAGGTGCAAAATGGCAACAAAAAAAAGAAAGTTTTCCGAAGATTACGTTAAGTTTGGATTTACCTTCATAGAAACAATTGCCTCAGTGTGTGATATGTATGAAGGTTTCAAGTAATGATAGCATGAGGCCCAATCGCCTTGAAAGGCATTTGAAGCAACAACATCCTATTCTGGTTTTGAAGACGAAAGAGTTTTTTCATCTAAAGCCGAATCACTCAAGCGGATGAGACTGGATAAATCGGAAAGTTACCGCACAGGTGTATCGCAGCATCTCAAAGCTTCATTTGAAATAGCTTCTAAGATAGCAGGGCAAAAGAAACCTCATATTATCGGTGGTGAATTAATAAAACCATGTATCCTAAAAGCCACGCAGATAATTTTAGAAGATGCAGAGCAAAAAATAAAGTCTATTTCTCTTTCAAATAACACAGTCAAGCGTAGAATCGAAGATATTGCAGCAGACATAAAGTCATAAATAATTAACAAAGTGGAATTATCGCCATTTTTTGTTATTAGTTGCGATGAATCCACCGACATCGTTAATTATGACTTTATCCAAGAAGATATTTTGCACTCCCAATCTTTGACAGCAGGTAATTCATCTGAAGATACGAGTATTAAATTCAATATCAAATTTTGTTGAAAAAAATGATTTGGATTGGAAGAAACTCATTGGACATTGGACTTTGCACAGATGGCGCACCTGCAATGATAGGTGTACGATCGGGCTTAGCTAAAAAGCTCAAAAAAAATCCACTAATGGTTAGTACACACTGTGTTATTCATCGGCAAGCTTTGGCTTCCAGAACATTGCCACAGAAATAGCGCCAGACTTTGGACTCGGCAATAAGGATTGTAAACTACATCAAGAGCAGCGCTTTGAACAGTCGGTTATTTTATTTTTGCGTGGATCTCGATTCTGATCACAAAGTTCTTGTATCCATACAGAAATACGCTGGCTATCCAAAGGCAACATGTTGGCTCGCCTTTATGAATTGAAAGAAGATGTAATTCTTTTTCTTGAGTTCAGAGAAAAACACGATTTCTTGACAATGTTCAAAGATGACACATTTCAGTGGAGGTTGGCTTATTTAACTGACATATTTGACTCCTTGAATGAGCTAAACTTGAAACATCAGGGCAGAAACAACACTATATATAATAAGCAATTATGATTATATTCAGGGGTTCATATCAAAGCTTCAACTTTGGAATCAAAAAGTGTTTTCTGAAAATGTTATCTCTTCTTCTCGGCTGTTTGAAGGAATTAAAAATAACATACTGGACACAAATTTAAAAGCTGACATAAAAACTCATATGCAAGCGCTGGAAGACGAATTTCGCCGATACTATCGAGACATCAATCCAGAGTCACCAAAAAATATGGCACATGACAAGAAATCCATTAATTTGTTGTCGATGTGTCACAATTACCAGGAGAAGTTCAGGAAGAATTTCTAGAAAAGAAGGCTGATTCGTCCATGAAAGATGACGTCTATCTTTTAATATTAGAGAAATTTTGGATCAAAAGGTTGCCTGTTAATTCGACACTTGCCTCTCTTGCTTTACGAATACTAGTTCCTTTTTCTTCAAATCACTTATGTGAGAATAAAAGTATTTGTACCTATATGATGTGCGTTTTTTTTGTATTTATTGAAAAAGTAAGGGGGGCATGAAAATATAATTTATAGTCCGGGGAGCCTGACCCAAAAAAAAGGTTGGGAAACCCTGCTGCAGTGTTTGGTTCTGCTACTTCCTTATAAATGGCACTAAAAACTTCAATTCCTTTTTGGCGTATCTCTAGTGCCTATTTTAATTAACTATCTTTAGGTAGAATACGTTAATCAATGCCTGAAGATAGGGATTGCAGATCCTAGTATCATCTAAGAGAGAGTTGAAAAATCAAACACTCTAACTCTTTTCAAAGTAGATTTTTATATTCATTTTTGTATTCTGCTACTGTCTCATAGATGTCGATGGTATCTTCCAGATCGCTGGAATACAGCTGGATACCTAAATCAATGCTTTAAGTAAATTTTAAGGTTAGAAACCTACCTTAGCGTAATCGAGTGGCACGTTGTTTTCTGGTCCAGTGAAAATCCCTTCACTGAAAAAGAAAAATTTAGTTACCACAAGACAGTACCAAACCACCACCAAACTCTTTTTTATAATTATTATGTTGTAGTTCTTCACAATTTTTGGACGTAGTAAAAGATCCTGCGAAATCGAAAATTAAAAAAAATAGAGGTATCTTGCGCATGTTTTTTCCACCGCTTACTAAAAAATATAAACCTGTCTATTGTCGGATTTTTGTAGTCATCTCTTCGGAAATTTGCCATGTGGCATGTCCCTCAATGGAGGCTAGTAAATCTCCGAAAATGCTTTCTATCTATAGTCGGTATTCAGTACCTATTAATAAGTTAACTACGGGAAAATGTATTCATATGTACAGGGTGCGGCAGAGAGGACGGACGTTTTTGGGATGGGTAGTACTCTCCGCCTCTGTCTACGAGAGAGGTGGGGAGGGTGCCGTTTGACTCGTGAGATCCTAGCATTATTTTACCAGTTGTCGTTATGGAGCCTTGGACGGTGGAGCACCGCGTTTTCGCCTATGATTGTTTCGTCCGAAATAATGAGTCAGTCATCGGCGAACAGCGTGAGTTACGTCGCCACTTCAACATTCATCGGAATAGAGCTGTTCCCTCTCGAAACACCATCCTTCGTTGGGTTGAATCACTTCGCAGGCGTGGTGAACTGATCAACAGAAGACCAAGAGGAGCACCGCGAACAGTACGAACTCCTGAAAATGTTGAACGCGTTCGACAGGTCTTTCTTCGCAATCTGACTCGATCTACCCGGAAACATGCTGCTGCACTTCGCCTTATTGATCGTTCGGTAAGGCGAATTTTGCATATGGATCTCCGCTTTCACCCCTAAAAATTGGCCATTGTGCAACAGTTACAGCCCGGAGATTATGCACAACGAATGAACTTCGCACGTGAGGTGGAACCACTGATCGATCAAAATGAGAACCTCACCAAATTTATCCATATGCGATTTTTTTTATGGGGACACCTCAAGGCTAGAGTATACGCGAACAAGCCCCGAACTCTGGACGAATTGAAGGGCGAAATTCGCGTGAAAGTCGCCCAAGTTGAGAGAGCGATGTTGGAGAGAGTCTACGCGAACTTCCAAGAACGCCTCCAGCATCAACGATATCGGCCACCACATGCCTGATGTGATTTCCCACACTTGACTGTCTCAAATGCTATTTGTGAACCTGATTCCATCAATAAATTTGTTTTCGAGTAAAAATTAACTATTTTATGATTTTTTTAAAATCGTCCATCCTCTCTGCCGCACCCTGTATATTCATGGGAAAAATTCAATATTATGGTCCGGTAACTCTGAAGCTTTAACAATTGACAACGTTGCATATGTAGTATAAGATGCATAAACGCTTCATTTATAATTGGAATGTGTCATGTGAGTTTTCGTGTTGACGGAGCAGCTTGTCATTTGAATTTTGTTTATTTTAAATCAATAATAGTGAGGCACAGCTACGTATACAGGGTATTTCAAATCCGACCATCACCATTGGGAAACTTTAAGAATACGAAGTCGCTTAAATACGGGCAAATTTGGGTATTTAGGTAATCAACAAAATGCCACTTATAAAGTTTCGAAATTCAAAGTACTTCCGGAGAGAAACGGAAAAACAGAATTTTTATCTTTTTCCTGACATTATTTGTAGTGGGATGTTCAAATAAATTGGATATTAATATTGCTACTTTTCCTCATCTACAAGATAGCATAATTAGAATTTCAATATGAAGTTTCGTCTCTTGTCCTCCTGCATGAATTTTTGTTGTTGTTTTCTTACAGACACCATACTGGATTTTTGCACAGACGAACAGATTTTTTAATTCTCATTCCAAAAATGTATAATACGTCATACATTGATGTTGCCAAACCTGTTACTGAAAAAAAAACAGAACTTCCTAGCTAAGCCTTGAAATGATCATTTGTTTGGCCTATCAGATTCATTCCAAAATCACTTTAATTTTTTCCTGACTTTATTTGAGATGAGATTTCAAAATAAATTGCATGTCTTTGTTAGTTATATTACAAGACGACATAGTAAAATTTTCAGTTCGACATTTCTTCTTTAGACTTCCATCACCAACTTTGTTTTTTCATATGCACGCTATATTGGTACATTTAAATGGACTTTTTAGTCCTAAGTTCAGTGACTTATTTCCTTACTAGGTCATAAGTTTGTTGTTGGGTGAAAATTGGAAATAATAAGGTATGGTGAAACCTGGACCCATAATGAACATTTTATTGATGGTAATAACAATAATAATCATAAATAAGCAGCGGTAACTCATACCAGATGATCAAAATCTTGTTCGTTAGTTTGTAGGTAAAGCCTGCATTGCTCACTGCTCAATTTATTTTTCGTCTTCTCAGTCATCCAAACTCTGTTGCTATGTTTAATTTGAGACCTCGTCTGGTATAAGAAATAGAAATAAGATAATCTCAAGACCTGTCTAGAAACGTCTACTCTTCTGCAATAACTAGGGTTTGGCAACGCCAGTCTATGACATATTATACATTTTTGGAAATAGAATTGAAGAATCAATTCATCTGTGCGAAAATGCAATAGGGCGCCTATAAGAAAAAAAAATAAAGTTGATACTGGAGGACAAGAGATGAAACGTCATTTGAAATCCTACTACAAATAAAGACAGAAAAAATTAAAACGATTTTAGGAAAATTCTGCTTTTTCCGCCTCTCTCCGAAAGTACCTTGAATTTCGAAACATCCTAAGCGGCATTTTGTTGATTATCTAAATACGCAGCTTTGCCCCCATTTAAGCGATTACGTATTTCTTGCAGTTTCCGAGATCCCAGTGGAGTGGTTATTATTACCTAACCCCAAGCTAGATGTTTTAATGCTTTTCGACTTTTTTGATGAATATTCACTTCATACATGTAATTTTATTATTTTTGTATTTATTGACAGCATGCCATGTTCCTTTCTAGTTATAACCAAGCTATATATATATATATATATATTATTTTTCATCATTCCACAAATTAATCAAAACTTCATATTTTCTATTCAATGCATACTTTTTTGCAACATGATGTGCTACATTTTTTACTCTTTATGCCTCCTGATACTTTGATACTTCTGAACCTGTTCATATAGATACTATAAATCAAATCAAACCTCTGCTGTAGCAGCAAGATTCTTTTTTTACCGAGATGCTGAGAATCCGATTCAAACTAGAGATAAGAAATATCTATTACTAACAGCAATGCTGTATTGAAAAGTAGCTTTTCTTTCCTTGAATGAAAAGCGAGACGGGGATTCAAAGCTACATGATTCTGTTTTGCTGTATCAAATAAAATATATTAACGTAACAATTTATGACTTGATTTGTATGACAAGTGGGCGCTCTTGAAA